TGGGAGAAACCTTTCAACCCGCAGCACACCAGCGAGGGGGACTTCCATGTGGATGAGGCCACCGTGGTGAAGGTGCCCATGATGCACCGGATGGGCATGTTCCGAGTCCATTACTGCAACAAGCTGTCCAGCTGGGTCCTACTGATGGACTACCAGGGCAATGCCACTGCCATCTTCTTCCTGCCAGACCAGGGCAAGATGCCACACCTGGAGGCCACGCTTACCAGAAGCATCATTAGACAGTTCCTGCGCAAAACTGACATAAGGTGACACCTCAGGCGGGGACTGGCCCAAGAGCCAAAATTTCTGAGCCCTGTCAGGGCTGACCATTAGGATAGGACAGGCAGTGGTGGGGAGGAGGAGTTGGGAGTAGGGGAGCAGCCCTTGGCTCTTACTGAGTGTATAAGCTTGTGCTGAAACACAGGCCTGTGCTCAGGTCAGAGAGAAGCAGCAGGGACATGGGAAGAGACAGAGTAGGAGCCCGTGAGCTATTTAGGGACATTCTCCTCAGAGGACAGAACTTCCTCATAGTGAGTGTCCAGTGCAGGAGCAGCACAGCAGGACAGGCCACAGCAATAAAGCACAATGGAGAGTGGACTAAAGCAGAGAGTCCAGGATGGTCATGGGAATGTCTGGCTTTAAAGGCCCAGAACAAGGAAGGCCAGCAGGAGTCAGTACTGGACACTCAGACAGGAATTTCCACTGCTCAGACTACATCCCAGTAGTTTATCCACTCCTAGGTGTCCATCACTCTAGAGCTTGGCCCTCGGGTCAGCACACACTGGTGCATCAGCAGTGAGCAGGGTCTGCTGCACGGAAGAGTGGTGAATGCTGTGAGACACAGAAACACAGCAGACACAAGGCAAGGCCCACCGTGAGTAGAGGGGTCACCACTCCACTCCAGCTGGCTCCTCATCAGACCCTGGACACAGGCTGAGCACAGACCACAAGGCCAGGCTGAAGCCAGAACCAGTTGCAGGGCCTGAGGGCCGGACACTAACAGAGGCCCAGCATTCAGCATCAGGGGACATTTTCTCTCCTTGATGAGAGGTGGACAGCACTCTGCTGCTAGTGCATAGATACCCAGAGTATGAAGTCCAGGCTGTCCCGGGCAGAGGACAGATGAGCAAACACACAGGGCAGGATGACCCTGACTCCAGGAGCTCACTCTGCATCTGTCTGCAGGGCTTCTCAGAGGCAGGGCAATTCAGCCTCTTTAGGACACAGGGAGTCCATTGATATTAAACTTCACTGGCACTGGGTGTAGAGGACCCAAGGAGCTGCCATCCTGCTGTGGACACAGCCCGGGGACTTTGGGAGGAAAAGCCAGAAAAGAAGACAGTCTTTCATGGCATTCCTGGCACATTAGGACAAATGCTGAAATCCTCCTTTGTGATCTTTCTCTCATGGCAGCTCTGCAGATATATCCTTCCCCAAACTGTCCATCTCTGGAACCTACGACCTGAAGTCTGTCCTGAGTGCACTGGGCATCACCACCGTCTTCAGCAACGGTGCTGACCTTTCCAAGGTCACCGAGGACGTCCCACTGAAGGTCTCCAAGGTGAGGTCTTCTGATGAGGGTGTTTTCCTGGGTGCCTTTGAGGCGTTAACAGGACCTGGAATTCATAGCTCAGGCTCGGGGCTGAGGAAGTGGCCACATCACCACAAAGGTCCAGGCTGAGCTCTAACAGAGGGCTCAGAGGATGGGTGCAGGAGACACAGAGGGAAAGGCAGCTCCCATTTGGCTTATGTGCTGGGGAACTGCTCAGAGGTTTCTCGCTTTTTCCACAGTACCGAGGAGTCCTTGAGCTCATTTCTCCACTTAGTTTAGAATTACTGGCCTCAGAGAATGTTCTAGTGTTTTCCGCATGCACAATCTAGAAGGGGTGTTTCACTACCATATTTTAATTAGGAACACCAGGCCCTCCCAAAACCATTTGTTGATGAAAATGAAAACACCCAAGGCTACCAGTGCAGCACATCTGCACACCGTGGGGACAGGGCCCTGTGAAGGTCACCTTCAGACCTGTCCAAGGAGCTCCCAGCACAGAGAGGGGGAGCCATGTACAGGAGACATGGATAAAGGGCATCTCCACTCCAAGCTCTGTGTGGGAGAGACCAAGGGAGCAGCTG